CGTGCAGCAGATGACGCTTGGTCTTTCACCTAATTTTGCAATCCAGGCTCGCACTATCTGCTAATTGCTCACTAAATCGAGGATCCAATCTTCCCTACCGTCCTAACTTTTCACTATGACTACGTGTCACCAAGAAACTGCTGGATTACCAAGTTCATATAACTCGAACAAAAAAATAAAATTTATTTGCGTTTAGAATAATTTGTGAAATGTGCATTTGTGAAATAAAATAATGTCCACTACATGGACGCTTGTTAATTACCGAGAAATCTCTTATCAGTCTTTAGTATTTTATGTGCTTCAACCCTGACCTGACGTCACTCCTGTTTTTCCACTCTCCACGTTATCAAGTTTCCCAAGCATGCATTAAACTTCTTAAGACGCATTTCGCGTGCAAATTGATCGTTAATTAATTAAAAATGTAGAGACTGACAGCAGAGGTATTTACCACCCACCGTGTCGTGTATTCACCCCTCCAGCGAAGTCAGCTCCTAGTCTACGGCTAATCGGGTTAAATTAACTTAGTTAGTGAACGACGGGCTGTGTCTACACCCTCATATTCGATAACTTGTTATATGCAATCCGAAATACTGTGACTCTACATATGATTCTCTTATACTTAAACGATTAAACATAAACAATTGAAAATTCTATTATAAAAAGTCATAAGAGAACAATGAAATTATTGCAGAATTTTATGTACGATTCTGATTCTAAAATTCGTTTGTATTTAATAAGTGGCAAAACCTCGATTAAATCATTAAAGCTGTTTATCAAATGAAAATTAAAGATATGTCACCATCTAAGTTTTCTTTTTAAAAATTATGTACATTAAAATATGATAGACAATGGTTTTGGTATCAGACTGATGTTTCATTGGTTCCTAGGCAATCGAGGCATCGATTTTTAAATTGTGTAATAAATAAAATTAGCAACGAGGGTGACTTCGGTTGTCGGGCGAAGGGTCGAGATGTAACTTAATCAGGGCAACTTCCCCCGACTTAATAAAGCTGTCTCACTTTTCGCCTCATTACCGAAATACGTAGCAAGATTTTTTCATTCGATCTTTTTACGCTCAGTTAGGTACCGAATCTTATTGTTAAGCAATTACGCAAATCAATTCCGTAAAGCTTAAAAATTAAAGTCATTCGTTCACTATAAACATAAGTTCTTTATCATTTTTTACGACATATCGCTAAATAAATTTTGTATTGAAATTAATACAAATAAAAGAACGTACAGTGCGTAGCATAATTTTTTGAGTGAAACGAAGAAGTAAAATTCATGTTAATGATCTTTTTGACAATTATACTCTCCCTTTCACGGAAAATAACCACTGAGTGTTACGACAAGGGCTGATTTGGACTCGACAGTCGGTTGATTAGTTACAAGAGGTCGAGTTCAACCATTCTGACCGTCGTTCGACATACATACGTAGGCGATACGAAGACACGTTCACCACGAATCGAATACCGTCGCGTCGGTGTGACGCGACGCGTACGTCAATCGTCATACTAATGGAACATCAAACTGTACACGACGCAATCATGTTATATTATTCATGACACTTCTCACATTGCTTCCTATGGAGATGCTAAAAGCAAAGATGTACATCGAGTATCACATATAATAATGTGCATAATATTCCTACAATGTTATGAGATTTCATGAGTCGACGCGGGCGATTATTGTCTATAAATTAATATTATACATTTAGACGAATTTCTTTGCATTCAGCTAGAAATGCAATTTTGTTGCACGAATCAGCAATCGCGAAATCTCGTTGACTTTCGAACAAATTGAAAATGAAAAGTTTAACGACGTTACTGGCAAACGGCGCAGCGAAACGCGATGCAATTTCGCAGTGTCAACTTGCAGGAAGAAAGCGATTTCAGTCGCGGGTTGCTGCGATGTCACCGAGGTAAAGGAAAAGAAAATAAGAGAATTGTGCCGAACAAAGTAATTATAGAGTGCTGGCGTAGCGAGAAGAAACGGATCGTCGGGTCGGCGGCGTGGCGCGGGCGCGGCGAGCATTCCGTGAAGCGGAGGTGGAACCAAGGGTCGGAGTTGATAAAGAAATAAAGAATCGTGAAAGTTCGCGTCGAACTCCGCGTTCCCGTGGGGCCTTATGACTTAAAGTCTCCTTACTCCGTTAATTCCGAACATTAACAAAAGTCTCGCTAAAACTCGCCGCTAACTTTCCCGCCCCCGCGGGACCGGCTCGGGACTTGTTAATGAAAAAAATACAATAAAACTCCCTCACGATGAAACTCGTCTCGAATTTTCGAGACTCGCCAGTTGTTTGCGCTTTCCAACGACCGACTCTTTCTTTACATGACACTCTTCATGCTAGAAATCATTCGAAGGAACTGCCCTGATTTTACTTCGTACATCGGATGAGTAATGAACAAGCATCGAATACGAACTGCGATGAAATGACCTTCCGAAATTTGTAGGAATTATTTATGCAGTGAAACGAAGTAAGATTCATAGAACTCCCTCGGATTCGGATATCGTTACAGAAATCATGCTACCGATACGATCGATGGGTTATTAATGATTGACAAGCTGGTCGGTTCGTTCCTCCAACCGCGTTTGCCGCAGCGGCATCGATGGTTTTCCTCTGTCGCCTTATCAGCTATGCTATCCGATAGAGAAACGATTCGCGCAGCGATTCGCACTGGATTTACGCGAATCCATACAGCGGCAATCATATCGCGGCCTGATAATTGGCAGAGAACCGACAATCGTCGTAATTTTGGTTCGGAAATTCTGACGTGTGACACGCGACGGTTCGACGCTCTTGGGACGCACCTCATTCAATTAGTCACTCAGTTACTCGCATCACATCGCATTTACCCATCAACCTCCCATCGAGTTCTCCTTCTCCTCCTCTCCTCGTTTTCATGCTCCTATAACCCTCCGGCAACCCTCCGGATTCGTTCGGGTTGCGCGAACAGGTCGCGTTCACCGCGAACTCATGATTTAAACTTTTCGAGACGATGATCCGTTCCCCCCCATACGCGCAGCTGGCTCGATCAGAATGTCACCAGCCTATCATTCGGAAAACGACTTTAGTTCCCTGCTCGTGTCGCCGGGAATACTGCCACCAGCATCGCACGATTTCCGTAACTTCCTGTAAGTTTGCTGTCGCTTCTGTTGCCAACAATCGGATATAACTCCGACGACGATTAAGAAACGACAGTGATAATTATTATCTTGAAATATTAAATGGTGTCATTAACTCGCATTAACATATCCCACGTTTAGGGAAATGAAGTTTTGAAAACAAGATTTCTCTTCATTAATTCACATCTTTTTTGCCAATGTAATGCCAATCTTCTAATTCTCCTTTGTTCGTTTATTACCTTATCGCTACGTTCTATTCGTAGTACACGTACGTGATAAGAACGTGCTGTCGCTAACAAAGATAGTAAAGAGGAAACATAAGTAACAGACACGCGGAAGCGTGGAAGTTGCGACGAATTTGCGGATGATCGCAAACTCGCCGAAGGGCCGAAACCGGCAGCATAGTGGAATTACTCGACGGCTCGCTCCCACGAGACTGAACTTGTCCGCGACAATTTCAAACTTATTTTAACATTCATATAAGCCCCGTCCCCTTAGCCCATGCAACCGGCGAACCGTCGCCTAAGCATCTCTTTCCACGTGTAACCCGAGAACCGACCCGCTAAGTCGCTCTTCCTATATGGAAAGCATGAGGGTAACGCGGGATTTACATAAGATTATACTACGGCCTTCGTATGTCTCATAGAAAAGGGAGCAACGAAATAGTACTCGGGGGTGTGCTGCTCTTCGGTTGATAATTAGAATCACGACCGAGATTCAGCGATTCCAGTAAACGATTTCTAACACTTCGCTTAGATTATCATTCCTTTCTATCAACCTGTATTGCTATTATTATGTCCTAAATGTAATTTTAAATGTACATAAGATCACAATATGTTCTGCGAGTAGAGACAAAAAAAGAATTGTATATAAATTCCCTTATATGCCGTTTATTATGTTATATTATATGCAATTATTAGTATTATTATTTTATATGCAAATGACTTAGAAAAAATTATAAAAGTAATATGAAAATATGATACAATAAAGTGTTAGTGCATCGCACTAGAATTAATTGAAGACAAGGACTGGTATGAATAATTTATGGTGTATTTAAAAGAGTGAAATAAAATGAACATGAAACTATAAATTGGAAGGTATTCGTTCTCAAAAGATTTTGATCCCATTACATATTTCAATAAGTTGGAGAAGAGTTATTATCACACGCACTATTTCTCAAGGCGTTGTTAAATCTCTCCACCGTTCCCCATTATGTGTTTCGTATTCATAGTCTGAGCGAAAATTGCTCCTAGAGCAAAATAAAGATTATACGAGCCATAAAACAAGTTCAGCCTACCTTGCCGATGTTTATTTAAGCATAGGAGATGCATCGAACATTCCCTCATCCCTGCCACTTTTCCTTTATCCCTCTTCGCTATTATTCCTCCCCATTCTCGTTCTTTTCCCTGATTTTCAAATCTCGTAGCATAATTTCAAACCAAGCCTCACTAGCACCATCGGATAAGCTTATCGATGGAGCATGTGCAACGTAGAAATGGTTTACCGCTGCTACATTGAGGACTCTTCGTGCAATTCTGAATAATTCTGCCCTCTGCAGAGAATGCTGCGAAACCTGAATTCAAATCTACGATAGTCGAACACAATATTATCGGGAAGGCGTTTATTAATATTTTTTATACGAATTGATAATTAAATATGTACAATAAAAATTACTAGAATCTATCTAATAAAATATTCTTATTCACATGGCACTTTTCCAATATCTCCGAATATCTCAGTCTGAACGAAACATATGAACAACGGGAATTGATAAAATGGAAGAGTACGTTGCTCAAAATTATTAGTCAAATATAATCTTCAGGCAATAAATTTTTAACATAATTTCATAGTTTATTAAATAGTTTCATACTATGCTACGTACGCGGATTATACGTATACTACAAAATGAGTACTTCACGACTGGGCACATTGTGTCGTCTAGTATCCATACCTCACAGATAGTCAGCAGAAAATGTAAGAAGGAACGAGAAAAGATGTGCGAACCAATATCCGTAGCTGTCGTAAGTACATATGTGAAAAGAATATGCATTTACATTTTACCCACGTAGAACTCATATTGTTTGAAACGCAGAAGTTGCACAAATAAGTGGAAATATTCATAAATCGAGTACTTTCACAGTTCGTTTAATGATAGTAAAGACTTCCTATTTTAGGTGGCTTCTGTTGGCTAACGTCCAATGTTAAACTATCGAAACTGTGAATGTGTAGCGATTAAACAGCAGGAAACATAAAATTCAAATGAAGCAAATTACATCCTATAATTTCACCTGCACTGTTGCTCATATATGTACATACGTGTAAAACAATATTATTCAATGCTACATACTTTACTACATAACATTCATTAGATTAAATAAATTCAAACAATAAAACAGATATATCCTACAGTAATCGTAGCTAATTGGTTGCAATCCGATTAGCTGCCTGCAATATTATTGCGGAAGAATTATTTCTCGACTTGATTTGTTACAACTAATTACAATGTAACGTTTGGTCTAATCTGCGTAACTGTGAATTAACAACGAATTCCATGCTCATGAAATATTAAATTGCTCGCGCGATGTCGCATTAACTTTTCGTTACATAAACGGACGAGAGTTTTAACTCGTTCCTGTTTGAAAGTAACGCCTGATGCGATTTTTCATAAACGTCCTATTTGGACTACTCTCGTCGCAGATTTTGTGCGGCTGCGGGTACAAAGACGGTACGGAGATTTCGGAAGCTATCTCGGCAGCGATACACATCAGCCAAAAGGATATGAAACCATCGTTTTTCGCGCCGGACGTGGACATTTGCGAGACGATCGATCATCTTACTAAAGAGCCAGATATGAACTGCTCTACTAGGAACGCGCTGGTCGAAGCTGCCAGATTAGCCAGATCAAAAATAAAACCGCTGTGCGAATGCGATTCTTGCAGACATGCGGCACTCGTCATTCCTGGAGGAATGGGCGCCGCAAAAATATTGTTAGTATTCGTACAATTATTATAAGAGTATTAAATTCTCAACGAAATTATAATTCGTGATGCCATAATTTTTTTAGTAGTCTATCATAAGCTTTTTTTTTTAAATAAAGTATTATTAATGTGAACTGTATTTTAAAATTAATTTTGCACTATGAAATGAAAGTTCATAGCATATTAGCTTTAATATACTCGGAATTATTTTATTTTATCATTAACTGAATTTGTACGAAGAAGTATAACGTTTAGATAAATTCACATACTCATACTTACCCCATTTAAAGGAGCAACTTCGCAGAAAGCGGAGCTGACTGTACTGTGCATCCGGATTTGGAAAAAATTATCGAAGAATTTTATTGTGATAAAAAGCCAATTGCATCAATGTGCATTGCCAGTGCCATTGTCGCAAGAGTGTTAAAGGGAGTGAAAGTAACGCTTGGGAAAGATTGTAAGTTCCTAAGAAATAATATTATTCACTGTAGAATTGTGTCATTCGATCATTTATTGTGTACTCTAAATTTAATTTCTTAACATAATATTATAGCACCGAAAGAAGATTGGCCGCACGCGGAAGCTATTAAGAAAGTTAAGCAAATGGGTGCCAAAGTTGAATTAAAAGGTGTAAAAGGAGTGACCAAATGTAAAAAATACAACGTCTTCAGTACACCTGCCTGGTTGTACAAGCCTGCTACTTACGCGGATGTTCATAATGGTATAGGAAAGCTAATTACAGCGTTAAGGAAATCAATGAACTTTTGACAACGATGTCTCGTTTTTCAAATACACAGTTCTACGTGAGTCATAAATACTGTTAACAGAATGAAGTTGTATTTTATAGTAATGTTTTTACTACATCAATTTACGTGTACATATTGATCGATCGCTTGAAATATAGTGATTATAAAG